CCCCAAGGATGCAGAAAGGACCATCTTGCTTCAGGAGGAGACTTTCTTTACTTGCATTTCACGGGCCATCTGATCAGCTTCTCTCCATTTGTGGCCACAGCTGCTGGCCTTTTTTCTGGCCTCCTAACAGCTACTGCAGTAGCAAGGGACAGTGCATCTCTTTCCTCACTCCAAGAGTGAAAAAGTAACCCTTTCACTTTCTTGCCAGGCCAAGTGCACTCCCACCTAACCACAACAATCCACAGACCTCCTTTTGATTTACTTCAGACAATGCTGTGATTGAGTGAAAATTTTGAACAGCTTTAATGGCTTTTATTTACCAAGGTGATCAGAAAGCAGGTGGTGTATTGTTCAACAGGACCAGATACGGAACAATAATGGTGTGTTTTGGAGCTGTAAATATGTTTTAATTATTATGAATTGATATCAGTTAAAGCTACTGAAGCAACTAGTGACGAGCTGTGTCAATGTGTTTCTTGCTCTGTAGTCTGTGTGCTGCAGGTTATGTGAGGAAGTTAGCCAATATCCAGTGTATTGGTGAGGAGGCTCAGGTGTTGTACAGATTTTCTGTATCTTGGATAAACCATTTAGTTTCACTGCATCCAGTTCTTCTCCTGTTGCTTGCCAATTTGTAAAATACACTGGAAGTAGTGAAGTGTTTAAGATCTGTTTATTTAGACTGAATGCTTTGGAACAGAGATTGCTTTTTAATGTGTATCATGGAAGCACATTGGAAACCCTCTTCTCTATCCTCTGGACAAGCAGACACTCACAAGATGATATTCCAAGACCATGGCATTACAGCAGGTGACATGGCACATGGTCAATAAAAGATGGCAGCTTTCCATATGTTACTTTCTAGAGGTAATCTAATTAGATTAGAATTCATTTGTGTATGCAGGTTACACAGCTCAGATTCCATAACCCAGGATCTCATGTTGCCAGAAGAAAAGGAAAGGAGCCAAGCAGTTAACAGCACGGTGATTGTTAGACTGTGTTGCCCAACACCAAATTCTTGGGGAAATTATGAAAAAATACATTTCATAAATGACTTGTATTTATTTATATTATTAATTATCATTAGAATCCTCCCAAGAAGAAAAATATAGTTAATGAATAACTCACCAGAAGAATACAAAGGGATCTTGGCAGTAAAGAAGCCTTGTTAGATTTCAGAAAACAGAAAGAAACCTTAAGTTTAATAATTTTAATTTTTAATGAAAGATAATTTTCAAAGCCAACATGAACCGTCTCATGCAAACTGATTTCTTAAAATATTTTAAACCATTTGGATGCTTCGCTTTGGTCTGTGTTGTTTCTTCCTTTTATTCCCACGGCACCTTCTACTCTGCCTGCGCAGATCAGGGTAGCTGCCTTCTGCAGAACAGCAATCTCATTTTGTTTACCTTGGGTTTCAAAGAGAATTGAACAAGCCCAGGATTCGCTTTCTCTAAACAAATACTGGCAAGACAAAGGTATCACAGCTATTCTGGGGACAAGAGGTTTGTTGAGATGGAGAACAGTAAAGACTAGCAAGAAAAAAAGTCAATGTGTTTTTATCAGGGGAAAAAAAAAAAGTTAATCCTTTCACAGACTCATTTTCTTTGCTTTTGAGATAGCTCTCCTTTTTCATTTCAGTTCTAGAGTTTTTAGCTAAAGGAATTGAGAAACTGAGGTATTTTCTTTGTTCCTGTCAAGTAGCTTGAACAGTTTGAGAAGAGAAACCAGTCAGAGCAGTGTGATTAGCGTAGCCAATTAGGGTGGATTTGCATATTCACAACACGGCTATCAAGAAATAATTCTGCAGAGATAACACAAGTGTAGCAATGCCTGTCTGCCAATCAGAGCCCTCTGGCTCCTGTGCTGTATGGTAATTGAGAAATCACCATAGAGCGATGCTGCAGCTTTGGCACCCCGAGCCAATCCACGCGCTGGCGCTGTGCAGCTAGGGGAGAAAGTGCATTTGTAAGGCAGAAAGAAAACCACACCCTTGCATGCTGGAAAAGGTTAATCTACAATCCATCTACCTAAAATGCAACAGCATCTGTCAAGTGAGTTTGTTCTCCCAAGATGCATTCCTTTTTTTTTTTTTCCTGCTGTAACTTGTGCTCACTGCCACTTCCAGGGGCCTGACCTCAGCAGGAGTCTGGGGGATGTGGCCTTTAATGAGATGGCAGCTGGCCAGGCACTTGCAGGCACTGCCCCTCTGCTCAGCCAGTGGTCCACAGGCATGGCAGGGTCCTAGATGGTACATTAGACCAGGTGCAGAAGGTGAGCTTTGTGTATGTATGATAAAGCTCAGCTTTTTCCTGCCCCAAAAGGCCTTTCACTACAGTGTTATCCAAGGACCAGGCAAGAAAGCAAGCAGCTCTTTGGGAAACCTTACAGACTCAGTTGGATGACACACTGGGGCAGATGATCACAGCACCTTTACTATATCTGAAAGAAAAATCTCTTTATATACTACAGTGACAGCAATCTGTGATCCCTCTCAATGTTTCTCTGGCTCCCACCACCTGGCATCTCTTACCAACAAACACATTGCACAGGATTTCAGGTGAGCATGACTGTGGCCAAGCAAGTGGTGCACAGAGCCAGCTGATGCCCTGTGCCCATGTAATCTGCATCTTCAGGATGCTCTTTTCCTACCAAGGGACTGACAAGTGCTTTGCTGCAGTGTGCAGCACCCATATGTGAAGGTTTTAGGAAGAAATTTGGTGATTTCTACCCTTTATGCTCTCAGTTCCTCTTTGGTGCTGGGGGCTGAAGTTGTGGTGTGAAGTTGCAACAAATTGGGTCAGGAGGAACTCCCTGGACTTCACTTTAACGACTAAAGGTAGTCATTTCTACAAGATAACAAGGAAAACTTCACAAAATCCCTAAAATTAGGCCATTACACAAATTTACTAGTTTAAAAACTAGTATAATATCCACTAAGGTAAAGACTATGAGCCATCATCCTCCATGCCCCGAAGAGGCATTAAGCACATGTAGTTGGGGAGAAAAGTCTCTCTCCAGGAAGATAATTTTTTTTATAATAATCCACAATAGGGATTTGATACCTATCTCTGGAATACTCAGTGCTGATTTATCTAGTCCGGTAACCTATGCAGATTTTTTTTCAGGATCTCAGTCTATGAGTATCCACAATTGCCTCTTTCCTTCCGATCCCTTTGTGGCACCAGCTCTTTATTAGAAAGTTAATAAACTTTGTGTATGTTCTAAAGATAATATTGAAAACAGCAAAATTGTGTTCTGCATTTTATAATTGGTGTGGAAAAAAGAGGGAGATCTAATCCTATTGGGCCTCCTCTTTCTTTTGCTCTCTCTCCCTTTTTCCCTTTTGATGGTAAGCAGCAAATTTTAATTAGCTTCATTTCCACAATTCAGTCATGCATATGTAATCTTTGTTCACACTTTTATAAAGTAAAATTAAGTGAAAGAAATTGGATAATAATAGAAAGCTTGTCTGAGCAGAACAAATGTGAATTATCAAACATAAGGAAAGATGACTGGGACTACAGGACTTGAAGTTGTGCAAGGTTTGAGGTGTTTTTTCTGAAACAGAAATGCATAAATAATGCATAGAAACAGGTGCTTATTATCCTGTTTTGGGCATCTTTTGTTCATTATATACTTGGGCTGCTGAGGTACAGTGATAACCACTGAATGTGAGGAGACTGCTTAATAACAGCTTTCTAATGTTTCTCTTTTATCATAAGCCGAAAGCGTCACATGAGCTTGTCTAGTTAATAAAAATCACTTTGTGAACTCACTTTTCTTAGACTTGGTATTCCAGCAGATCACTGTACTGGGCCTCTCTCTTGATTATAGCTGCAAAAGCTGTTCTGCCATTTTGCATTGTAATTTAAAGGTTTCCTAATCCATATACACAACCTCTAATTAAATGTTCCCAGGGGTTACCTTGGGAGCCTTCAGTGCTATGGTTTGAAACTTAAACTAAAGAGTGCATTAAATTCATTCCCCCTGGGGTGAGACACAGGAGGGGGGAAGTACATTTTCATCCCCTGCTACTCTGGATTATTTGAAAGCATGAGCATTACTGGGATTACTAACATCATTATTTTTGTTATCTAATGTGAGAAGATGAAAATTTAAAGGGACACAGTGTGTCTAAATCTAGAGTTCAGCTTATTTTATAACTTCTGAGAAGGCTCTTTACAGTCTAGACAGTTGTTTTAAGAAGCAACCGGTTCATCATCAGCAACTACAGACCAGAACCTCCTGTTGATGTAAATCAGTCTGTGGCTGTACAAGCTGTGCAGCAACCACTGCTGCTGCAGACGCTGAGGTCTTCATTAAAGGAACTGAGAAGTAGTGAGGCATGTTGGCATTAGTGCAAGAAAAGTCTGAAGCCCAGTTAAACTAGTGAGTAGATAACTTTCTCTTCAGCTCCTGTTCACACATTCAGCCTAACCCCCACCAATCAAATGGCTTTAGGAGAAACACCTCTTTTTATCCCCGAGAAGGAGCTCCTGTTACAGGAAGTAACTTTCAAACGTGGGTGTTTTTCTTTTTTTTTCCCCTCCCTAACCGGCTTTGCTACTAGTGACCAGGGATAGCCAAGATTTAGGTTAATGATTAACAGAGCAGCCATAACCACACAGAAACTCTGACTTCCTCCTGCTGGGGCTGGGACCAAAAGCTGCCTTTGCTTGCAGAGGGAGAGGCAAGCGTAGCAAGGAGAGCGAGGAAGGGCTGGAGGACAGCACCTTCCCTCAGCAGAGAAAAGAGGAGGAAAATCCAAAAGGAGCAAGAGGTGTTTGCCATGAAGATAGGTAAGAGCTGAGCACTTTCTCACTCGGCTTATTGACTCAGTGGCTGTTGCTAACAAAACCCACAGGTGTGCTTGTTGTACGTTGGGACGTGCTCGTTGTACCTGATTGCTCAGACCTGTGTGTCTCGGTCAGAGGGGCAAAGTGAGAGAGGATCCATATGCTGTGAGTTTGAATGTCAGAGAGGGCAGGAAGGCTCTTCTCATGGCAGGACAGACATCCTCTTCAGACTGTTCTCATCTCATTGACCACAGCCACGTCCCTGAGTTTGAGGTGTCTCTTTGGATCAAGATCACTTTGGCATTAGTGTATATCTGCATCTTTGTTGCGGGCATCTTGGGCAACAGCATCACCATCAAGGCCACCAGGATCCTGCAGAAGAAAGGCTACTTACAGAAGGAGGTCACAGACCACATGGTGAGCCTGGCCTGCTCTGACTTGCTGGTCATCTTGCTGGGCATGCCCATGGAGTTCTTCAGTGCTATCTGGAGGCCCTTTTCAGCCCCCAGTGGCAACATGGCTTGCAAGCTCTACTACTTCCTCTTTGAAGCCTGCAGTTATGCCACTGTGCTGCATGTGGCCACTCTCAGCTTTGAGAGGTATGTGGCCATCTGCCACCCCTTCAAGTTCAAGGCAATCTCTGGACCCCGCACAGTGAAGCTGCTGATTGCCTTTGTCTGGGGGACATCCATCATAGTGGCTCTGCCCCTGCCCTTTGCCATGGGCACAGAATATCCTCTGGAGGCCATCGAAGGCTACCAAGGTATGACTGGCTGCGTCAAGCCTACACCCAGGCACCACCTCCCTGAGTTGAAGCACAATATGACCATCTGTACCAGCCTCTCCTCCAAGTGGCCTGTCTTTCAAGCCAGTATCTTCAGTGCCTTCACTGTGTACATCCTAGTGCTGGGATCTGTTGCCTTCATGTGCCGCAGCATGATGAAAACCCTGATGATCCAGAAGGAAGGAACTGTGGCTGTGAAGGATGAACTGAGACACCAGGAGCAATACCTAAGAAAAACTGAGAGCTCAGAGGGCAAGAGCTCCAGAAGACAGATCATTTTATTCCTGGGTAAGAGCTATGTCCTGCTGTGCCTCCCCTCCCCTGCCCCCTTTCCACATGGGAAGGAAGCCCAGAGCCTCCATTTTACGTCACTGAGTTCCTGCAAAAATGGGGGAGGTAATGGTTTGAAACCGGTGTAAAATAGGGGAGAGGGATGCTTTGGGTTGTGATTATGTATTTTAAGAAACCTGATTTCCTTGCATGTTTTTGACTTACACTTTTTTTTGTCAGTATAGGTGGGAGGGAAGAAGAAGGAAAAATTAATTTACTGTCTGCTCTTTGAGTTGTTTGCTTATCCTGCATGCAACAGTGTGGGTAACAGGGTGTTGCTGCTTGATATTTGGGGTAGGCAACAGTTGATTGGATGTAAAGTAGTTCTACTTGCACGTTTTCCTGTTAAATTACAATTCCATGCATGCTTAGGAAGGACTTGATGAGAGGGAAGACTGTCTTGCAAGATCTGAAGCTTGTCCCACTCCAAAGGTGTGTACCTCCTAATTCAGGATGCCCCCTGGAGGATACTTGGCCTCAGCAGTTGTGGCTGTGTTGCATCAGAGCATGAAGAAAGCTGGGCTGGAGAGTTGATTTGGTCTTGCAAATTGCTGTTGCCCTCTTTGAATTTTTTCCCTGGTTTTACTTGAAGGCCTATAACCTTGGAATTATGTTTGATTCTGATCTCTCTTGCCACATTTGTCAGACAAAAACTAATCAAGCTGTCATTTCACCAACATGGAATCTTTCCAGGCTGTGATCCATGTAGTCTCCACGTTTCTTGATGCTCTTAGAGGCACCCTTAATCATGTCCTGGCTGAATTACTGCTAGTTCTTGTTTTGTTGGGTTCCTTAATATGATACTGGATATAATAAATGAACCATTTAGAGCATGAATGCACAGTAGACCTAGTATTCTGGGTTGCTTTTTGGTGCTATGCTTGATATTGCAGAGGGGGAATTGAAACTCATGTGTCTGTCCACTTTGACAGCTTTTTGATTTTTTTTGGCTTTTCTATTTTTGAGTATTCTCTGCTTCCTCATCTAGTCCTGCTTTTGCCATGGTCTTATGATTGGAATGTGAAGGTGCAGGATAAGGAGCCCAAGGTGCAGCCTTTACTGCTGCACCTGTATTAGAGATGGGAACATGGTGAAAACCTGTCATACAGACAAGACAAATGACACAAAGAAAGGGTGGAGCTGCACACCCTAACAGCAGAGAGGGTGACAAAGGCCTCAAATGGGAGATGTGACACTCCAGGCTGTAAAGAGCTCTTCTTCATGCTCTGGATGTACATCTAATAAAGAAATCATTTCATTGCACAGACATCTTGTTATTCTGGGACAAGAGGCCCTGTATCTGGGTGATTAAAAGTGCTCTCAGCATCCTTACTCCACCAGAAGTACCAATTTCTGGGGTAGAGGCTTAGCGGCTAGTGCTAAATACAGTATGTTGCACAAAGCAGCAAAAGTGGTAAGGCTCTGCTCTTTAAGTGCTACTGTGGGATCCTTAAATGTCTATGGATCTCTCTCCCCCTGTAAATTATCATCGACAGCTACAATGAAGCCCAGTCTGAGCTCCAAATCCTGTAGCAAGTTCTAGCTAAGTTGAGAGAGATGAAGGTAAATTGCCACAGCTTTTCTTCCTCTCCTTGATTAGTCTTCTTGCTTGGTGATGATCTAGCATGGAGTAGGGCAGACCTACTGCTGCTTGCAGAAGTGTTAAAAAAGCTAAATTAAAGTAATTGGCTTGTCCTTTATCTAAAGAAAATTTGCCACCAATTTCTCTGTGCTCTCAGCTTTCTGAAGCCACTAGATACTTCTGTTAATTCCCCCAAATTATTTCAGTGGCAAGTCTCTTAATAAGAGTCTTGCTAATTTACTTGGGTCGGGAAATAAATTAATAAACTGAGGAGGAAGAAACGGTGGCCTGTGTCCCTGAGAACAGTGCAAAGTAATTGAATTTGGAGATTTCATAAAAGTGATGCTTTAGGGCAGTTTTAACTCAGAAGAAAGGAACATATAAATTGTTTACAAATCGTTGAATTTAAATATAGTCTTTTAGAAGTCCTCTTTCATTTAACAGATGGGTCAAATTAAAACAAATACTTGCACACTCCCAACATATTTCACTTTTAATGTGAAATGTAAGTGACAGTATATAGCATGATGTCTTTGAACATCTAACAGCAATAAAAACAATTTTGCATTTTCTTCTTCTAGTTGATAAAAGTGAGAAGTTCTATAAAACAGAGATTAAATTCATAAATCTCCTGACGATGAGAAAAAGCTAAGTAGAAAGAGACACAAGAAGAACTGATGCTTTTTTAGTGTCACCTTATTGTGTGGCACTTGAGAAAATTAATGAAAATTAATTGTAAATGTTGAGAGTGAAAGACCACTTGCCATAAAGGAGTATTGTCACTCACAGGATGGGCTTCAGATGGGCTGACACCACTGCTGTGATGGAGAAGGAAGGTGACAAGGGGCGAAACTAGAAGAGCATCACCATGCTGGGCAGGCTGAGCTCTTGTGGGGAATAGCTTTTGTCCAAGGAAGGTGGCTGCAGGGTTCAAATCTTTCAGCTTAAAGCCCAGATGGTCTGTTTGGGGATTTGAAGTCCTTGATGTAGAGAAGTCAGTTCCTTCTGTTTCTGGCTAGCTTGGTGTACTCGTGGTGGAGAGGAGGGATTGTCCCAGCAGCTGCAATAGCAACTCTATACCTGGTGTTGGGAAGGGGGGACTTCCAGGGCTGTTTAGCTTGATTTTTGGTAGATTTACCCCAGTAGAGGAATGCAAATTTGTCCCAGTATTTTGGAGAAAATCTGTTTTGTTTTTATCAAGTAGGCTGTGTAGTGCTATCCCTTCCAACTTCCGTCCCACTATTGCTGCTGGCTTCAAGAAAAACAATAGCACATGTAAGTCTCTGCTTCATATTTCTGCTCCAGAAATTAGGTATGTTGTGCTTTTGGACAGCCTGGGGCATACTTCCTTTAGCCTCTGTGCGTGCGATTTGATCTTCTGAGTCATGTGGTAAAACTCCACTGTCTTCAGTGGGTCAGCCCATAGGTATGAGCAGTGGAGATCAGACTAGTTGATGCTGTGTGGGTTACCTATGTTTGTTTGTTGGGACAGCAGATCTTTTCTTCTAGTGGAGGGCTTCTTGGGTGTGGATGGGTGTGGCCTCTCATGAAAACACTTTCACAATTGAAACTGTGCAAGTTAAAAATCTTTACGAAATGTTAACAGGTGGCCTGCTCCCTGGGAAAGGGGAGTGTTCCGGGACAAACCTCTGTGCAGGTTTCAGCACCTGCAGTTCCATGCCAGCAGTGCCATGGCTATATCCTCATTAATCTGGTCAATAATATAAAGCCACATTTATGCAAAAGCAGCTGCATGGTTTGTTATCAGACTAGATTTGACTGACCTGAACTTCTACTCTACAAGGAAGTGAGTTTTGATTGTCCTAGATGAAAAATGTATCGCTTCTCAAGATTCTGTGATATTTTCCTTGGCAGCTTCAGTTCTGTGCTTCTCCTAAAAGCCTTAATTATTTTCCAAAAAGCAGCTTTAAGCCTACCACAGTAAATATGTTGAAATAAAAAAGTCCTTTAGTGTTGCTCCATCCTCTGCTTTTCTTTGTGCACACTTCCAATTTGCCCTTGGAGCAATACTCTTTTGTTTGCATGGCAGAGGGGTTCTACTGCATGGGGCTACTAGGCACTGTGAGTGCTTTGCTATTTGCCAGCCAGCACCTGGGCAGTGGTCTTCTGTCTCCTGACTGTGATGAAACCTCCATCCATCCCAAGCTCTTCCTTCCATAAAAGAGAAATATCAAAGAAACCTGCTGCTATGAAAGTGTTGAGGTAGGTGTATTAAAGCACTGCTGTAGCTGCAGCAGTTGGCAGAGCCAGAGCAGCTGGACCTACCTAACTGGAGACCCTGCTGATACCAGCCTTGCTCTACCAGCTCCCCTGTGCTAGGCAGGGCAGATGATTCTCTCTGCTGTCTCTTTTCCATCATTACAGAACTGGAACTTTTCTGCTTTGGGACCTTCTGATGTAAGATGAATTTTACCTGCAGGCCTGGACAGCAAATATCCTGCAGCTTCTTTAATAACCATGGAAGGAAATTGCTTATTATAATCTGTGGCAGTGCCTCCATCTGAGAAAGACAATGTGGTGGTGTTTCTTCTTAAAACTTTCTTTGGTCTAATGCTTACCAATGTCAAATACACTGAGAGTCAACCTGAAGACAGTAGCAGTGGTGGTTTTGTATGTGGTATGGTGCAGGTAGCTTCTGATCTGGTCTGCTTTATAGAGTGCCTTATCTGCTGGGATGCCTGGCCCCTCTCCTTCCAGCTTTTTGGTGGTGACTGTTAAAATGATGCCAGGCTATTCTGTAACAATACCAAATGCCACTGTAAACACCATAGACACAGCTGTACCTGGTCATAAACTAAATCTGGAGAAAACTTTCAGTCAAATTAAAAAGACTACTAGCAGATTAATATTTTACTCAGAATAACTGTGTAGAAACAGCCTTTCCAAAGGAAATGTGTTTCATAAGGCACTTGGCAAATTGGTTTTCAGGAGGCAGATTACTTCAAGTAGTTGTGAAAAATACGTGGTTGTCATCTAGAGATGACTCAGGCACAGTGTAACTTGACAATGGTAGCGCTTCTGTTACAGGAAAATTAGATGCTTCTTCACAGGCTGGAAACTGGCTGTTCTTTTTTTTTTTTTTTTCCTTACTGAAAAAGGTAAAGCTTGGGGATAGAAAAAAAACTGAAAGAATAACCCAACTGATTAGATTCCAGAACATGGCTCCAGCCCATGTTCTTTAAACTCAGCTTCTTTGACTCCTCTTGGTTAATTTCTTTAACAATTCTGCTCAGCTGCCTTTCTTCAGAGGCTTTGTTGGAGAGGTGTATGAAGAGAAATATAATGTAGGCTGGGTATGATTTTCATCTTTGTGTTTTATGTGGTGTCTTCTTCGATACGTTCCCCTGAGCAGGGC